CAGACATTGATGTGAGAGCGCGAGAAGTGCAGCGACGCCAGGGCGACCAGGTTGTAAATCCGAGAGCACCAAGTGCTGCGCCTGCCACGCAAATCACACCGGCAGGGCGGCGGAGACCCAGCGACACCAGGGCCACGCCAGGGCGTACATCCGACCCCTGGCAGAGTGGTGGATCTTTGTTGGTGGCAGTTTGTTGGTGGAAGTTGGTTGGTGGAAATTTGTTGGTGGATGTTTGTTGGTCGCAGTTTCTTGGTGGCAGTTTGTTGGTGGCAGTTTGTGGGTGGCAATTTTGTGGGTGGCAGCTCGTTGGTGGAAGTTTGGTGGCAGTTGGTTGGTGGCAGCTTGTGGGTGGCAGTTGGTTGGTGGCAGTTTGTGGGTGGCAGTTTGTTGGTGACAGTTTGTGGGTGGCAGTTTATGGGTGGCAGTTTGTGGGTGGCAGTTTGTTGGTGGCAATTGGTTGGTGGCAGTTGGTGGGTGAAAGTTTGTTGGTGGCAATTGCTTGGTGGCAATCGGGAGGCGGGCGGAGGAGGATTGAGGAGGAGCGGACACAACACTAAAAACAAAAACCCCACACGTCAATGTGGGGAAGAACTGCAGTTAGTGATTGGACAGAGTGTCAGTCTTTGGGCGCTGCAAAAAACCCGAGTGTAAGATTGCAGCGCGTCGGATGGGCGTTTTTAGCTTTGATGATCCTCATCTCGTGTTGTCTGGGTACAAGTGCATGTTGCCTAATTCCAAAACAACATGAACACATCTTGGGCCTTTCTTGGCCGGGTGCAGAAGCCCCTGCGCTTTCACAAGCCTGTCCATGTCCAAACATGTTGCGTAGTATCACTTAGTAGGGTTGAATGTGCCTTGTTGTGAAGGATTGTCACTATCAGATAATAATATTTTAAATTTCAACATGTGTCGGCTGCCAGCTGCATGTAGTAGGAACACGGTCGCATCACCAGTGGACCTGAGGGGAGTCAGTGACAATGTTCGCCTCACTGATTCAATGCGTAAAATGCAGCGCCATTCAAAGGTTCACTCTCGTTTTCAAACAAGCACCCACTCTTGAGATATTGATTGCCACGAAGGACTTGCAGCGGCCAGCATGGGTTGGAGACCGTCCTGTGGCAGCTACACCACGGACCGCAGAAGTATTCTTGAGAATCCAGACCTCATCATTAAGTAACAATTTTGTTTTTGACCTTTCCGATTTGATAGGCGTCCATCCTTCATGACTAGGGTTAATCAGCTGCAATCGATGACTTCATTGTCGCAACGAGATCAGGAGGCCAGAGTCTTCTTCAATGGGTTCTCCCAGGAGTTCTGCATCGCCAGATCGGCAGGGTTTTCAGGCCGAAGGCAGCCATCTCCATGCCATAGTGGGACAGTCGTGGCCGGCTCGTGATTTCACGCGGGTCGATGATTGCCACCTCATATTGAGTGGAGTTTGCTTTTGGCGTTTGGACATCAGTTGGCAGGTCTCAAATTGCACAGTGCTTGACACCAGGACACCGAGTGCTGATGGGTCTTTTCCGCGGCAGGCCCATTGGCTAGAGAATTGGTGGCGCCTCTTGGTGCAACGTCAAGTTTTATTCTATTGCAAAGTGAACCCCTGTTCTTTTGAACATTTTTTTTCGTTAAAAACATGTCTGATGCTTCCTCGCTTGGCCTCCAGGTTTGTGCCACAGAAGCCTTGCGTGGAGAACTTGCACAATTGCAGGTGCAGACAACTGGATGTTTGCTAGATGTGGCATGGCAACCCTTGATTCTTGAACACCACACCCTGCCAGTCTGTTCAAGTTGGGTGCATGCAACACGTGCTGGAAGAATGAATCAATGAGTTGGTAGCGATAGAGGGGCATTCGCAAGCATTGCAGCGCAGAGAACGATTCAGGAGGCTCTGGGGAAGGAGTTGCGCCGACAGAAGGGCCTGGTTCGACGTGAGGAGATGTTGCTGAAGAGGCAGAAGCAGCTAAAGGCAAGGCAAAGTCCTTCAAGACCGACAGTGGCGTACTTGCCTCACCTTTTCTCTTCGCATTTCTTCTCGTGCTATTTCCTTGACACTTCTTTTCTGACATGTATTCTGTGAACTTTGTCGATTCAGTTGTGCGACTCTTTGTTGAAGGGAGCCTTGATACAAAGCCGCAAGGACCAGGTCGGACACTTGAACTGAGTTCTGTAAGCAGAGTCTTCTGCTGTCCCCAGCAATGGCATGTCGTCGTTGTATCGTCGTCGTTCTTGGAGGACACTGGAATAAACGACTTGAATGCGGAGCTTCAGGAGCGAGCTCATGCCATTGCAGAGAAATACTTGGTTAGTTCTCACAAGAGTGATCCGCAAGAGTGTCCTACAAGAGTTTCCTACAAGGGTGTCCCACAAGAGTGTCCTACAAGAGTCTTCTGCAAGAGTGTCCCACGAGAGTGTCATACAAGAGAAACCCACAGCAGAGTCCTACAAGAGTTTCCGCAAGAGTGGTGCACAAGAGTGTCCGTACAAAAGTGTCCCCACAAAAGTGTCCTACAAGAGTGTCGCACAAGAGTGTCCCACAAGAGTGTCCTACAAGAGTGTTTCGCAAGAGTGTCCGCCGCAAGAGTGTTCGCAAGAGTGTCCCACAAGAGTGACATACAAGACCGTCCACAAGAGTGTCCCGCAAGAGTCTCCCACAAGAATGTCCGGCAAGAGTGTCCCACAAGAGTGTCCTACAAGAGTGTCCCGCAAGAGTGTGGTACAAGAGTGTACCACAAGAGTGTCGTACGTGAGTGTCCCACAAGAGTGCCTCACGACAAGAGTGTCCTACAAGAGTGTCCCACGAGAATGTCCGACAAGAGTTTCACAATCGTGTCATACAAGAGTGCCCCGCAAGAGTGCACCGCAAGAGTGTCCCACCGAAGTGGCAAGTTGTGGCGCACATGTAATGTGGGAAGAGCTCTTGGGAGCTGTGGCCTTTGGACCGGCCAAAGGGTAGTACAAATGTAGCGCGAAGCGGCTTCTGGTCCCTCGCGCCTCAGAAACTGGCAACTTTAGCAGAACTGGCCACTTGGCTTCTGGCAGGCCTCAGAACTGTCAACTTGGTAGTGTGTAGCTTCTGACAGCTGTGGCCTCAGAACGGGCCACTGGCTAGTACAGATGTAGTGCGGCAAGCAGCTTCTGGGAGCTGTAGAAGCCTGGTAGTACACATGTAGTGCGGGAAGCGGCTTCTGGAGCTGTGGCCTCGGAACTGTCAACTTATGTGGCCAAATTGCATCTTCTACAAGAGTGTCTTGTACAAGAGCGTCAAAAAATGTTTGGGCGTTTGTTTTCGAGTACGTGTTTGCATTCGGGTTTGTGGGCTCCATCTGGTTTTTTCTTGAACAGCTCTTTGTTCAGGAAGGCGCGCATCACGTGCGCCGGCTGTTGGACTTTGCCATGCATTCTCCAGCCGTCCGCCTGGCGAGTATTGATTGGCTTGGCCGGTCACCGGCAAAGCCCCAAACCCATGCAACCGCTGACGCCAGCGACTTGGTGCTCAGAGGTTCCCAAATTCTGTGCTTTCGGTGGTTCAGGTTGCAGCTGTGCCAACAGCTGTACCAAAAGCAAGTCCAGGCATGCGGTGTTTGATCAGACTTGCCAACCTCGAAATTGATGTTTGCCATTTACCCGTCAGTGATCACGTTCGTGTTGAGAACTGGGCATCTATGTTCACACAGCACGCATGCATTTGCATTAGATTTGGTTCCCCGGTTCCTGTAAGCGTTGAAACAAAAAGAGTATATAACAAATTACGACAGGAAAATACAAATTCACCAGTTGTAGTTTTTTTACACGTTTGACTGCTGCATTTTTCAAAAACATGACCCTAAACAAATGCGAAACTGCAAACAATAATCACGGAAATTGCAACGATACGGATTGATATGGGTGGGATGGGAAGCTGGCCCCCTTGTGTTTTGGAGCAACCTCTCGTGGTTTTCGGGTAGCCTGACCATGTTTCGCTGGTTGTCAAAACATTTGCAGGTGGGCTTTGCAGGTTCGCAGTTCGAGGCTGATTTTCCAAATGCAAACAAATAGTACCGTGTTCTCTTTTGTATTTTTCAAAAATACCAAATAATATATAGAACTATGATAAAAGTTTGACTCTGACCGCGAAAAAATACAAAACAATACACAAGACAAAACAATACCAGATAAAAAACCAACACTTAAAAACACACAAGCAATACGAACAAATACAAAAATACAAACAATTACGACCCGCGAAAAAAAACGAAAAAATACGACCCGCGAAAAACAAATACAAAAACACACAAAAAATACGACTTGCCAAAAGAATACAAAAAGTGTACGACCCCCGAACAACAATACAAAAAACATACAACATTTGCCGAAACGGGTTGCGAAACAAAGTTTTGCACATTTTTCGCTTTGCTGACGCGTCGACGAGGGTGCTTGCTGATTTTGCGGCCCGATTGCCTTTGCCTCTATTTTGCCACAATGCAAAAAGACAGCAAATTCAAGAAAATGCTTCTTGAAAACACAAGAAGAATAACGTGACTCAAAATTCACGTGCCTTGGTGGGTGCTATTTGAATTGTGGCCCTCATTTGAGTATGTTGTTCGGGAACCAGGGCCAGTTAGGACGCAGAACCATGCAAAAAAGAGTATTTCAGGGTTGTATTTATTGACTCTCTTTTTTGGTATTTTTAATGTTGTTGCTTCTACCCGGAAGCCGGGGATTCAACATTAGATGTTTGCTCAGTCAGTGGATGTGCGCTGACCACCTGACCCAAAAAAAGGTTCGAGTCCTCAGAATTTTGTTGCCTGCTTAGCAGTGTTTTCCTGCCCCTCCTCCACCTGGTGTTTGCTCGAAAAAACCCTAGGAAATTGCAAGAAAATTCTTGTTTCTGCTACTTTTTAATGTGCAAAAAAGTTGAACATTTTGCCCTGTTCTATCAGAAAAGAAACTCTCCAATGCTTTCCAGGTTTGCAGAGCGGATCTGAGGCCGCATCCAGCTTGTTGTTTCGCCCATGTTAGCAATTGGCACAAGTCAAACCCTTGCAGACAGCTGTTTTGAACTTGAATCCTAAAGTAGTTTTTGATACGAAGATATGCTCTTCAATGATTTTGGTTTTGGCTCAAGAATGATGTAGTCCCCTGTTACTTGACATCACAGGTGGCTTTCTCAGCCTTGTTTTAGTTCTTGATTCTGGGAGTATCGACAGGTTTCACACAGCAAAGAAAGCAAGGCGTTTGTTGAGCAGCTTCAACGTCAAGCTGGGCCAGCGCCAGGCGCACTCGGAGGAAACTCATTGTGAGCTTGCAGCCTTTGCAAATCTTGAAACTGGTGCACAAACTTCCCGACTTGCTTGCAGTTTTTGAAGGAGCATGCCATCTACTTCACTCCTGTTCTTTGGCAGAATAATACAATGCCTTGAACGGAGATTGGATTATTTGGTAGGTGAGCTTAGAAGGGAAACTAAAAGGAATGATTCGGAATGAGCAGAACTTTTCAAGCAATGGAAACAAAGATCCCATCTCAGGCATCCTGAGTCTGTCGAGCCGAGTGGGCATGAGAGCCCAGCCTCCTTTGCCAATTACAGTGCCTCGGCTGCCAGCATTCCCAAGGTAGTGTAGATTTTCCCTGCATCCTTTTTCGCCAAGATGTGCCCAATAATGGAATGCAAGCGGCGGCGCCTCCAGCTCCGCCCATGCGGCATGCCACACACAAGGAGAGTCGGTAAGCTCAACTCACCCGAACGTGGTGGGCACAGCTTTTTGTGTAAAAATAGGTTTGTTCTCCAAGTCGCCTCAACACCAGATACAGCTGGAAGGAGAAGCTCCCGCAGTACGGCTCACCGTATTTGTGAGATTCTCAGTTTTATCAATAATTCGAAGATTGTGTGATTGAAGAAATGTCATAGCTCTAACAAACCATGCAGATTCATAGCGAGGTGCTATCCTATGATCGCGCTAAAGACGCCGGATGGTGCGTAACTTGTCCATTGTAACATGTGAGCAGACTGACATGAAGGGTGAACGAACTGAGTAGGCCCCTCCAGCCATAGTTTCTTTTTTGGATAAAAGTACGCCACATTTCGGGTCCTCAAACTTCGGTCCGGCTGCGACAGACTTTGCCTGAAAGAAACCATCTTGAGACACCTACTGTGTGGCAAACTTACCTTTTTTGACTTTCTTTGGAAGTTTGTCCTGAGGCAACCGACACCTATGGCCACTTGGCACTCAGCAGAAACACACACACACACACTATATATTATATATACATGTGTATATATATAGGACTGTATTCATCAACCAATCAGGGCGCATTGTCTCTGGTCGAGACACATCCAGCATTCGCTGAATGGCTCGAACAGAGGCAACCAAGCGGTCAGCCCTCTCTTTTATCAGGTTGCAGCAATGCCACTACCGCTGCTCCACACCGGCCCAACCAGGGCGCGCCGTGGTGCAGCCTTCTTGTGAGCTAAAAAGTCAGCGCGAAGAGTGCAGATTCCTGCGTACAACGGACACCTTTGTCGCACAAACATCATTGACGTCTATGTGCTAGGTGATTTGCATGCATTGATATGCTTCACACAAAACAGGTGCCAAGTACTTTGAGCGTGATAGAGCCTCAAGAATTGCAGTGCGGGACTCAACCTCCCTTCTGCCACTTGCAGCAAGTAGCTTGCAATTATCTATAAGGATTCCAGGAAGCCGAAGCCTGGCCAAGGAATACTCCACCCTGCAGTGCTGGTCCATTGCCAGCTGCAGAGCTTGGTGCCCTTGTATTTTAGTTGTGTCTGATGTGTCATGTGATGTGGGTTGGCTGAAGTGGTGGGCTCAAACTTTGCAACTACAAACCCCACTCCAACCCAGTCACCGTCTATTGTGGTTTCTGACATGCATAGATTCTGAACCGTAGTTTCGAAACACACGCATAGTTGCTGACGCGTGTTTTCTGAAACAAGACGAAAGGACAAAAAGCATGTTGCATTGGGCCGGGTTCAGGGTGCGAAAGACTATTTGAAGAACTTTGCAACGCAAGCCTTAGCATTTCTTCTTTTGGCGTCTCAGATGTATTCCGACCTGTTCCACTCTTTTCCGTCCACAGTGACAAAAAGGACTCGAGGGCGGCAAGCTGTGCTTTGTGTTAGGCCCTGAACCCTTTTGGGCCCTTGTACGTTTGCCTCTTTGCAGATTCACATGTGAAATGATGCACAGCAGGCAAGGACCGAGTGAGCAAAGCAGACATCAGCAGACTCTCATCCAAGCATTCATTCCACTACTGTAGTCCAAATGTTTTGACCGCCAGGTACTGACAGCCCAAGAGGTGACAAGTAATGGTCTTGAGAAGCAAAAGCTTCTTGGCTCTGTGGCCACCGTCAGAATCCCGCTTCATACAAGATGCGATGGATGCATTTTAACGTTGATTGAAACTTCATTGGTGAGATTGATTTCTGTTTTCATGTTGTTTGTTTATTTCTGATGTTGGCCAGTACCATATGATGAGAGTACTCCTTGCAAAATGTGTCAAAGCTTCGTTTGTTTGGCAAAACCGTGGGATCCTAACTTGAGCAAACAGCTTTTGCACAAAAACAACTTTGAGTGGTAGCGAACGTTTGGACCAGAAGCCAAACCTGGGAACATTTTGATGTTTTGACTTTGTGTCTTCTTTGATGCTTTGTAGCCATTGTAGCCTGGTTTTGCTGGCTGTCCAGCCCAGTTTTTGTGGTCCTTGTGTCGGCGTGTTTGCTCAAAGAGTTGTTTGCAACTTTGCAGTCAAGATGACCCAACAAGACATGAAGTGAAGTGACTCTGAGCACAAGCATACCAGACGCTTGACTCTGAGTCAAGCTGGTCCAAGTACTGTATGTCTATCAAATGTACATACGTAGGTGCTTGCTTATTGTTGCAAGCTGATTCTTAGACTTGATACTTTTCTCAAAGCCTTTGGTGTGATGGAGGTGAACACAATGACCAAAGCCAATGAGCAGAGGTCGTCGCAGGAGCCTCCTCGGATCGCCATTCCAGAGAACGATATGCAGAACTTCATGGGCCAAGAGAACTGGAGGCTCTGTGTTTCTCGAATGAACTGCTTGGACTTTCACTCATGTCCGACTTTCAGACAACATGCGTATGAGTAGGGTGTGTGGGTGAGTGCGGGAATGCCATATTCTCTGCAAACCTCAAAATCCTAGTGTGCAATGCCATGGCTTGTGATCTCTGGGCACGCATGTCTCTGCCAGGCAAAGAATCCGTAAGGAGAATTTGCATGCGCCGCGACATGCACAATTCTCTGTGCGGAGTGCAGTGCGTGCGCTGGACGTGACCAAGAAGCCAACCCAGGCGGCAGAGCGAGAAAGCCAGTGCTGCGGTCAGACAAGCCAATTATATACAAGATAGTATTAGTTGCCAACAAACCTTAGGGTTAGTTGTGTGTTGCCTTGTGGCGAGAAAGCCAAAAGATATCCAGGACAAGTGAGGCACAAGTCTTGCAGATACACACTGAAAGCAAGACCATTGCCTGCAGGTGCATCCAAGCAGCTGTGAGCCATCCGCCAACACAGCCAGGCTCCCTCCATAGCAAAGCCACGGAAGAAACTTGTTTGGAGGAGGTGTAGAGAGAGAGCTTTATCCTGGGGAAGCATTTCTGGACTCCTCTTGCACAAGCGCAGAGGGTGCGTTGGACCTCCGACATTCGTAAACACTGACAAGGGATACAGACAACGGCCTTTGAACGCTTTGGTGCACATCTTGAGCGGGAAGAGAGCTGGTCATATCATATTCTTTTCTTACCTTGCGCTGTCAGAGCTTTAGATTGATACTGGGAATACATGCCTGCCGGAGAGGTTTTGTCTAGACTGGCCTGAAGGAAACAGAACTATCGAAATCGAAATGAATAAACTCGATGAGCGCTGAGCGTGGCTAGTGGAGATATGTACTCTTATTTTTCTCAAGCTCTTCAGCTTCGAAGTTGCCCAAGAGGAGCTATGCCCGGAATTACATTCCCAGAGAGCAGCTGCTTTGGCCTGAGACGTCACAGCATGAAATGGGCTGGCTCGTCCAGGAGTGGCAAAAAGGGGGAGGTGCATGAGATTTCGAAGATGCAATGCTGAATGCATAGTCAGTTGCTATTTCTTTTGGAGCATGGAAAGACTGGACCGTTGACGACTTTGGCGAGTGACAACTTTATGTCAAAGAGCCAGGATGTGAAAGGCATACCATTTGCGGAGCGCAATACAATTCTTGCACCCAGTCAGCTTGGCTTTGGAACCTCAGACTAAATGGCTAAAGCTGCTGTGAGCTTTACACATGTCTCAGTTTCGTTGTAAGGAAGAAGGCCTGCTAGGAATCTGAAGACTTGAAATGCATTCGATGTAGCAAGACTGCGGCTGCGCTGCAGATGTGCCAATGAGCAACTGGTTGAGTGCGAATCTGGTTGAATTTGCCATTACATCACTAGCTTCCTGCTTCTAGGGGGGGGAGCGGGCTAAAAAAGATAAAAGAAACACATAGTAGCTTTATTGTTACTAGTAGTAAGGCCAGGAGCCCCTAATAGCGTCCTTGCTCCTAGTAGCGGTGCCCTTTGTTACTAGTAGCGTCCTGCTTTTGGCGAGGTTGGCGTCGGAGATCTGCTGAGCGGCGGCAGGACACGTACATTACATTTTATGCATTTTCTGTCATTTCCTTAGTCGATATTGGACAGGAAGTCAGGTAACAAGGCTTCATGGATCTGCAGGCTTTGTACGTTTGGCTTACCAGTGATCAGGAGTGTTGCGAATCCGTTTTGCCTCGACAACCTACGCCTTCTACGGCAAGCTCAAGTGGCTCAGGTCCCGTAGCCCAGATGAAATTGGAGGCTTCCCAAGCAATCAGAGTCAGACTGGTTTGGCAGGAGAGTTGGCACATTGGCCCGAGCTTTCTAGATGGGGGGCTACGGCGGGATCGGGATGATGATCAGATTCCTTGTGGATGCTAAGCTATTAACTGAGGATCATTTTCATGAGATATCATGAGTATGGTCACGGTCTGGGTCGTAGTTTTACAAAGATCAAAATATGGCAAGTACAAGATAGAGCCATCAAGGTTGTAGCCAGATTTTCTCAAGCCAGGTCACTCCAGGGTTGCCACACAACCAGGGCTGCACACTCTTTTGGCAACCCTGTGCAACCACGAACCAAAATTACACTGACTACTGACTCTTCCCATCACCAGAATTACACTCTAGATGACATAGATTTTGAGAGTTTTTAGGCTCACAAGAAATAGAACAGAGTATTTTTGGACGAAACACGATGCACGTTTTGCCGCCGTCCACAAATCTAGAATTTGGGGCACGCGAAGAGAGTGTTGCAATCGAGCCAAAGTTACCAATGATAACACATCTTTGCCTAAGCCCTAAGCTTTTGCAGCGACAAAACATGGGGACAGGTCAAAACCTGGAGCCCCAATAGTACATGTAGCTTGACCTTCCAGGTAGGTGAGCCAAGAGATCCTGGTTTTGACCCACAGCCACATGTCTCCTTTGCATGTTGTTCTTCTACCGGCTCCTTTGAGGTCGTTCACGTATGAGGAGCCTCGAGGGACCATCAAACCAGGCCTGCTAGTAGGAAGTCTGATTGGTACGGGCATCTAGTCAAGTACTGCACATTTCCTCAGAAGGACTTTTCATATCACCTTCACTTGGCATGCCGTATTTGCTGCGCCACAACACTCTCTGCAACAAACACAGAAGCGATGGAAAGTCCGTTGATGGCCTATGGACACACGTTGGTTTGGTGGTGTTAGGCGGCAGTACCTTCAAAGATGCCGGTTCCTTGGCCCAGTTCTGCTGAGCAGGCGTGGATTTTGGAGTTTGATGAACATACACACCGCCTTTAGTTTCACTGCCTTGGCTTCCAGGCCTTGCCTTGGTTTCCTGGTATTGGAAAATTGCGTCGGCAGCGGCGACTCTGGCGGATGCAGCAGCGGGAGATACGGTCCGGCGAGGACTCTCGTGCCAAAGTGAATGGTTTTGCAGGGTGCCAGAGGAGAGCAAATGTGTTTGAGCTCTGGTTTCCCGTTGATGTCCTAAAGCACTCATACCAATTCACACGACATGCGACACTTCGGATATCTTGAGCCCGCATTTGCTGCATTGAGTTGCACCGAGTTGCAAGAAGGCGAAAAAGGATTCCAAGTAGGCCCGACAAGGGTGGTGCCTAAGCTCGGCTCCAGGACCGCCAGGGAGAACAGCTTGGAGTGCAGGAGAGGGAGGAGGAGCAAGTTGAACAGAGGCCGAAGGATTATACGCATCGACGAATCATGTACTCATTGTACCTGCAATGGTTGGTCTCCTGAATGGGTCAAGCACACGAGTAAAAAGTGAAATGCTTCGCTTCATGCACTTGAATGCTTTCATCTCAAGTCTCAAGGGGGCGAAACCGTAGCGCCTCTCATTGCTCGCCATGATAGCGAACTTAAAAAAATTCTTGCTGTGTTGCCTGTGGGAAAGAGCTTTTGGCCTTCACCACAATCTGGCTATTGGAAAGAAGTTCTACAACATTCAATGCTGGGACAAAGTCTTCAAACCCTATGCCAAGGTGTTCCATTTGCATACACCCAAAGTGGCCGGATGTTCAGTTGTGGAGGATTTGAGCACTTTGATTGGGCGCAAGGAAGTGTTTTCAAATGAGCTTTGCTTCTCCTCGGCATCCCGTGGACTCTACAAAGACACAGTGGTCATGGTAAGGCGGCCTCGGGATCATGTTCTTTCACAATACGAATTTTGCAAAGCGGCCACAGATCTTGCTTACAGATTTATAGTGTGGAAGCATCAAGGACTCCCTGGGCAGAAGAGCTATCACTTGCCCAGCTCCTTCGGCAAGTGGATTGATGAATGGCGGTACACTCCACGCTTTGGTGACCAAGGTATCTACGAAGACTATGATCAGTGCTATTGTCCATGGAATTTGCAAACGTCTCGATTGCAGTGCGACCAACCAAACTATTGCTACCCCAACCCAGACTTGGATAAAGCTTTAGAGAACATGAATACAGCAACATTGCTTGGCGCTTCTTGTCGTTGAATGCCATTCTTCGTAACCCTTGTCATTTCAGTGTATTTTTGTGGAATAGCTTTTGTTATTTTAGGACCGAGTCTTTGTGCAAATTCAATCTAAGGTGACAGAAGCCTATCACGAGTCCTTTTGCTTGTTCCACGCACATCTCATGGGGTCGCTTCCAGATCATTGCAATTGCGAACACCCCGCATGGGCATCGTACAAGGAGACGGACGATACTCATGGAGAAATCTACAATGAGACGATTGCTGATATGGGAAAGGACAGTGGGGGCTGGCGACTGATTTATGTTTGCTTGAAATAACGCATTGCTTGTTGGACACCCTTGCAACTCCCCGAGGACGATATATATATAGAATATATAGAGGTGTATGTACAGCCAAAGGTCCCTCGATGGAACCTAGCTTAGAGAAACTAGACCCCCTGCAGGCCCAAAAGTTGTAAGCAAAGCGTGCACAAGTCAAGTCTCTGGTAAATGCCAAAACACTTGGTCAAGTCTTTTGCAAATGCTAAAACCTGGTCAAGTTTCTTGCAAGTAGATAAGGAAGATTCGAGATGTCAAGACCAAGCTTGGTCAAGTCTCTCGCACATGTTAAAACTTGGTCAAGTCTCCCGCAAGCGCTAAAACTTGGTCAAGTCTCTCGCAAGTGCCAAAGCTTGGTCAAGTCTCTTGCAGATGCCAAATCTGGATCAAGTCTCTTGCACATGCAAAAGCTTGGCCAAGTCTCTTGCAAATGCAAAAACTTGACCAAGTCTCTTGCAAGTGCTAGGCTCTTACAAGTGCTAAAGCCTGAGCAAAACTCTTACAAGTGCTCAAGCCTTGGAAAATATTTGCAAATGCTACACCTTGATCAAGTCTCTTGCGAGTGCTAAACTCTCACAAGTGCTAAAGCCTGAGCTAGACAGACCAAATGCTAACTATCCGGGCAAGAGCCCCAAACAGTGCGAGAGAGTGAGAGAGTGAGTGGGTGCAAGTGTGAGTGTGTGAGAGAGTGAGAGAGTGAGAGAGAATGAGAGAGTGAGAGAGTGAGATAGTTGTGAGAGAGAGAGAGAGAGTGAGAGTGAGAGTGAGTGAGAGTGAGTCGAGAGTCAGTGAGAGTGAGCATCTGAGAGCACAAAGTGCTGCGCCTGCCACGAAATCTGCACTTTGAGGTTCGCAAAGTGCTGCTACGAAATCTGCACTTCGAGGTTTACAATGTGCGTCACCTGCCACGAAATCTGCACTTTGAGGTTCGCAAAGTGCTGCTACGAAATCTGCACTTCGAGGTTTACAAAGTGCGTCACCTGCCACGAAATCTGCACTTCGAGGTTCACAAAGTGCTGTGCTTGCCACCAAATCTGCACTTCGAGGTTTGCAAAGTGCTGTGCCTGCCACGAAATCTGCACTTCCAGGTTCACAAAGCGCTGTGCCTGCCACGAAATATGCACTGCCAGGTTCACAAAGTGCCGCGCCTGTCACGAAATCACACGAAATCTGCACTTCGAGGTTCACAAAGTGCTGTGCCTGCCACGAAATCTGCACATCGTCGCCTGGGCGCCGTCAAATTTGGATTTCGCTGTGCGTTTGGGCACTCGGCAGGCCGGATCCTGCGAAAGGATGCAGCGCCTGTCAAATTCGCATTTCGCTACAAGTTTGGGCGCTCGACAGGCCGGATCCTACGACTCACTGCCAACCAAGGGAATTCGCGTTTCACGCGTTCGGGCGCTCGACAGGCCGAATCCTGTGAGAGGGTTCGTCCAGCGCCCGTCAAATTCGCACCAGGTTTGGGCGCTCCACAGGCCAGATCCTGCGAGAGGGTTCACCGCCAACCAAGAGAATTCACATTTCGCTACACGTTGGGGCGCTCGACAGGCCGAATCCTGCGAGAGGGTTCATCCAGCACCTGTCCAATTCGCTCAAGCCTGAGCTAGACAGACCAAGTGCTAAAGCTTGATCAAATCCCTTGCAAGTGGTAGACTGTTGCAAGTGCTAGTGTCAGCTAGAGAGACCAAATGCGAACACCTGATCAAGTTTTTGCAACTGTTAGACTTTTACAAGTGCTAAAGCCTCAGCTAGACAGACCAAGTGCCTTTAGGAAGAGCCCTTTGACCAAGTCTTTTGGGGAAAGCCTGAGTCCCAATACATGCAGTTTGCAGCCCTCAAGTGGGTGAACCATAAGTCAGCCTGAAAGCCCGTGAGTCAATGTCCGAATGGCAATTTGCGCAATCATATGCAGCGTGCGCAAGAGGAATGCGCGACTGCAGACCTGGATCACCCTGCAACAGCTTGAGACCCTTACGAACGGAGGGTGGTTAGTATGCTCACCGTGCTGGTCGGGCACTCTGTGTGGCCTTTATCGGATGAGGCGGATTAAGGGACCCTCATTCCATCTCATTCCTCATTCCCCTCCCTTGGATTTCTAGGTTTACACAGACGCACGCACACTGACGTGCCAGGTGTGCTTGAACTAGTGAATGACCACCACACTCTCCGGCTCAGATGCCCCTTCCTATCTCATTCCACACGCGTGGTTCCTCTAAGTTCGTCAACGTTGGCGCGTCATGATGCTGGTCAAGTTGGCTGGATGGGCTACCCGCAGGTCTCCGCAGGGCTGTTGACCAAGCCAGAAGCCCTTGCCAACTGAAGATACTCTGCGCACTAAAGTTGTACTACAAAGTCGCCAGTTCTCAGCTTCCAGCTCCCC